GTTGGTTCTTAATTGACTTTAGTATGAATTGAGACTAAAGGCTTTTTGTTTTTGTTTTAACATTTATTTATACTTATGGGGTGGGGGCCAGTACATATGACAGCTCCTGTGTGGAGGTCAGAGAACAACTTAACAGATGTCATTTCTCATCTTCTACCATGGCGTTCCCGTGCACTCAGACCTTCCAGCGTTTATCTGCTGAGCCGTGTCAGCAGCCCAAGATTGAGGTTTTATAGCCTTGTAACTTGCATGTGAATATTAAGTTAATCTAGAACCATTTTTTAAAAAGTTAATTATACACCTTTGTTGAGAAACAATTATTCTGTAGATTCATTGCTGAATATCAGATCTTCTCTGTGAATGTACGTTTCTAACGTTTTGCCAGTGACACATTGTCTTGATTAGTGATGGTGTACTAAGTCTTGAAATCACTTGTTTGGTTATTCACTGACCTTTGAATTTATGTTCAAATTTTAGAATTAGAAACCTACTGAGAATTACCACTGGGGTTGCATTAATTATATAAGTAGGTCAATTTAGAGATTTTACTCTTCCACCCATACACAGGATTTAGCTCTCTTCTGCCGACTCTCAGGATGTTTCCTGTTTTTTAATGTTGAGATAGTTCATGCACACATTTTGGTAAATATTTTTAAAGGTTTTATTTTTAGGTGATTAATATTAACCCTGTTTTGTTTGTTTGTTTGCTTTCTGTTTAGTTGGGGTTTTGTTTGTTTTTGGGTTTGGGGGGGCATTGCTTGGGTTTGGGGATTATTTTTGGTTTTGGTGTTTCACCCAAGCTGACGCAGAAGTCACTGTATAAGCCCAACCTCCCCTCAAGGTTGTGGCAATCCTCCTGTATCAGTATCCTGAGTACTAGCATTACATGGATGAAGCACCAGGCCTGGTTGGTAAATGGGATTTTAAGACCATCATTTTCTAAGGTTTGTTGCAAGTATATAGGAGAATAGTTAATTTGTAAATATTGACTTCCTACTTGACAGCCTTGACTTACTAGTTTTACTAGTTATTTGTCAGATTCCTTGATATTTCCTATGTAAGTGATAGTCTTCTAATAGAACAGAAAGATGTTATCAAGACAAACACACAGGAAGTAGGTCTCTTTTGGAGAGGTAGGACCATGGCAGGAGGAAGGGTAAGGTTTTAGCTCTGAGCTTTGACCTCTTGGCTTTCTCTTTTACATTGGTTCTGTGCTTCTTATTTAATAAGATGGTTGGTTACATCTACACACATCTTATTGTACTTTGATTATTCCAGTCTCAGAAGAAATGCATTTCATTTGCCATTAAGTATGATATTATCTATAGGTTTTTGTAGATCTCATTTATTGTGTTAGACATTTCATTTTATTCCCATTGCCTGCAACTTTTGCCTAATCTAATAATTGTGTAATCTTGTCTTTTAAATCTATTATTGTGGTACATGGATTCTTCTAATCAGATAAAACTCACTTAATCTTACTATATTTGTTTTTGTTATGGGTTTCCTTTTATAGTCTTTATGTAATGTGTTTGTGAGACTTGCTAGTCTGTGTCTTTCTTTCCATATCTTGATCTGATTTTAGTGATGGATTTACACTTGTATCAAGATGGATTTGGAAGTGTTTCTCTCCACCCTGTCATGTGTTTCTGGAACCACATGTTTGGATCAATATTTAAATGTACATAATAATATATATATCTTTTTAGCCTTTCTCTCATTTGGATATCCAAATAATAATGTCCAGTGAGTTTTTCTTCTCACTTTTTCGTGCACTTGTTAAATGTTAGAAACTGTTTTTACAAATATTGAATTTACTAGTAAAATTTCCTATGCCCGAAGTGAGTTTAGGTAGTTTTAAATATGAATTTAATATTGTTTCCTATTTTATCATATTTGATAACTTGACAACTTAAATGATTTTGTCCAATTTTTGGAATTGTAAAAATTTTACTCTAAAATTATTCAAAGTATTTCTTCTAATATTTTCAATATGAATAATTTCTTTAGTGGAATCCCCCTATGTCATTTCCAATTTAGACAATTTGTGGCCGATTACTTTTTGTTCTTTATTAGCCTAGTCAAAAGATTACCAGGTCCTTGACCTTATCATAAAATCAATTTTTGATGTACTGATTTTTCCCTCCAATATTGGTAAACAATTTTCCTCTGTTTCTATCCTTGAGGGGCCCATAATACTGGTCTTTTTGTGTTCTTAATGATGCTTTACCTGATCCTCCAAACTCCTCATAAGTTGTTTGATAATATATCAAATATAATTATTTAGGTTAAAATCTTTCCCAATTTCCCTTTTCACACATTTTTGATCCACAATTAACTAATTAGAAAGATATGCTTTGATTTCCCTGTTTCCAGTCTTTGTGGAATATATTGTCATTGAATTCTAGTTTATTTCACTGTGGCCTGAGGATATGAAGGAAGATATGCTGAAATCTTTCAAGACTTGGTTTCTGTGTTAGCATGTTGTGTGGTGATATTGTGTTCCCCAAAATACTGTGCACCCTAATAAACTTATCTGAGGTCAAAGAACAGAACAGCCACTAGATATAGAGGCCAGAAAATAGTGGCACACACGCCTTTAATCCTAGCATTCCAGAGGCAGATATCCATCTGGATCTCTGTGAGTTCAAAGCCACACTGGAAACAGCCAGGCTTGGTAGCAAGAGCCTTTAATCCCAGGAAGTGATGGCAGAAAACAGAAAAGTATTTAAGGAGTGAGGATGAGGAACTAAAGCCTGGTTAAGCTTTTAGACTTTTGAGCAACAGTTCAACTGAGATTCATTCTGGATGAGGACTCAGAGGCTTCCAGTCTGAGGAAACAAGATCAGCTGAGGAATTGGCAAGGTGAGGTGGCTGTGGCTTGTTCTGCTTCTCTGATCTTCCAGCATTCACCCCAATACCAGGGCCTGGGATTGTTTTTATTAATAAGACCTTTTAAGATTCATGCTATAATGTTGTCTGATCAATCTGAAGTTCACATCTTACCACCTCAGTCTGAAAAGGATATAATACTGCCAAACCTAATGGAAGTCAAGGGCATTCTTAGGTTAAAAGACCCCAACCCCTGAAATCCTGCACATTCCACGTGCAGTATCTTTCTTAGTGAAGCTCTGCTGTAGTTGCTGCTAACTTTGTGTCACTTTGCAATGACTTCTGGTATCTGTTTTGTTAGTGGCACATTATCCACGGTTCACAGTTAGAGCTGCAGGTTGTTTTGCATACTGCGTTCTTGGTAACACTGCTACAAGTTCAAACTTCAGGAAAACACTGCTGTTTTCAGTAATATAATTTTTAAGGATATTAGCAACAACTTTCCAATGTAGAAATTAAGTTAACATTTGGAAATTAATAATGACTACTCTTGATTTACACAATAAATAGTTACTTATATTTCTTGTCCTTCTGTGCTCTAGTAGTTAATGGAAGAAAAACTGAATTGTAAATGTGGCCATGTGTCAGGAGAATAAAGATTGGCTGAAGTTACATTCATTTTGTAGGGAAATCACAAAAGTATTACACATTTTGGCTTAAAAATAAATAAATAAATGAAGCCAGGCAGCGGTGGCACACGCCTTTAATCCCAGCACTCAGGAGGCAGAGCCAGACGGATCTCTGTGAGTTTGAGGCCAGCCTGGTCTACAAAGTGAGATCCAGGACAGGCACCCAAAAAAAAAGAATAAATCTCCAAAATCTTCATTTAATTGTTATAAGTCAGAAAGAAGGAAGGATAAAGGGATATTAAAAGTGAAAGGATCTGTTAGTGGGAAAGTAGTCAGTACCAATTTATAAACTATCAAATTAGTCCTTTAAATTATTGTTAAATTCTGTGTTCAGAACCAGAATGTGGGCTTAATGTTTACTGATTAAAATAAACTTTAATCATCAGGATATATACATTAAGTACTTAATTATTTTGCTCTGAAAGAAATGTGTGTCTACAGGATGTGTTGGGTGATGCTGGCTTTTTCAGAAATATGATGACTGGGCCAGCAAGAGGTCTCTTACCTGGAAACCTGAAAACCTGAGTTCAATCCCCTTGCCCCCATGATAAAGAGAACAGGCTCCTCAAATTGCCTCCTGACCTCCACATGCATGCCGAGGCACACATACATAAATGCACTTGAACACAAAATAACTAAATAAAACATAATTTAAAAAATTAGGGAAGTGCAGTGCCGGGGAAATTGAACCATCAAAGGATAGTTGCATCATGTGATAATCATACATCGGACTGGCAAAATAGTTTAGCAGGTAAAGGCAGTTAATGTGAGATTCTGGCAAACAGAGTTCAATTCCAGATCCCATGTAAAAGTGGAAGGAAAGGACTGAGCCACAAAGCTATCCTCTCTCCTACACACACTTCATGGCATGTTTGCCCCAAATACACATAATGCACACACACGTACACAAAGTAACTATATGTGTGTGTGTGTGCATATGTATTTATCTGACCTTAGGTTCATGGGACAGCTAGGCAGGTAAAGGTTCTTGTCATCAATCTTGACAACCTGGATCCAATCCCTGAGACCACCATGATAGAAGAGAACCAGTTCCTATAGGTTGTCCTCTGACCTCCAGCTGTATTCTGTGTCATGTACACCTACACACACATATAAATATTATAAATTTTTAAATCTGATTGAAACCGAGCAAGGGGAGTTATAGGAGGGGAGGAGAAGTGATGCAATTATATTATAATCTAAAACAATAAATAATTTAAAACAATTTAAATCTGAACTCTTAAGCATACATAAACCTCTAAAGTTTTTGGTTTTCAGAGTGGTATAGTGGTTGGAGAATGATCTTTGGAGTAAGGAAATCTGTATTATGAAATCTGTGTTTTGATTCCTTTAGTCTCACTGTTCATTTGGAAAACATAATCTATTCCCTCACATCACGTACTTGTTTTAAAGAGGAAAAAATGTAAAAAATATGTATAATTATACAGGATTCTAATGTATTTTTTTTTTTTTTTGCAGAAGAAGATAAATACAATACTTATTCACCTTTGCTCTTCAAGTATTTCCTGGCAGAAGGAATCGTCAATGGGCATACTCTGTTGGTTGCATCTGCCAAAGAAAAGCCTGCTGACATTTTACAGGTATAGAATATAGTAATTCAACATACATTTTGAATGCTTCATGAAAAGGAATTATATACAAGCAAGGCATGTACTACAAATTATATTTATATACATTAACGAGAGCTTTTGTTTTTCTGAGTCAGAGCCTCACTCTAGATTATGGCTGACTTCAAACTAACAGCAGCCCTGCCTCAGTGTCTGGAATTCTGGGTTTACAGTCCTGCATCACCATGCCTGACTCTTTTTCTCATGGTTTGGTTTTAGTCTTACTATGTAACCCAAGTTAGCTTTGAACTTAGAATTTGCTCTCTCACCAAGTTGAGTGCTGGGATTGCAGACACTCATTACCACTTCAGGCCATATGTCAGGGTAGGAGGTGGGTTGTTGTTGTTTTGTCTAAATGAAAACAATCATTTGTAAGCAGAGTTTTGTTTTAAATTAGTGTTATTAGAGAGTTTTCTTTTAAACAGAAGTAAAAGAAAATTAATAAACTATTTAAAACTGAATACAAATTATTGGACCAGACATTAATCATGTTTAATAGCAAAACAACAACAACAAAAACTCAGTTTATATTGCTCACTGAAAACAGAAGGAACATACTCTCTTCTTTTACTTCTAATTGACTTTCTCAGTTGGACAAAAGTCATCTTTTTTCATCCTAACTGCTACTATGCTTAGGCAGATTTTCCAGAGCCAACCCTTACTTTCCTGCTTCTACAATATGAACTAACTTGTAAGAATTCTGCAAAACAATGTCACCATATTGATTTTCACTTCTTAAATAAAAGTATAAAAAATAAGTACAATGTGGTAAAACAAATAAATAAAAATGATATTTTTGTATTCTGTTGTTTTTACTACTTTATGTTTTTCATTTGTTTGGGTTTTTTGTTTGTTTTGTTTTTGTTTTTCAAGACAGGGTTTCTCTGTGTGGCTTTATGCCTTTCCTGGAACTCATCCTGTAGCCCAGGCTGGCCTCGAACTCACAAAGATCTGCCTGCCTCTGCCTCCCGGGTGCTGGAATTAAAGGTGTGCTCCACTATTGCCCAGCTTGTTCATTTGTTTGGTTTTTAGTTTTCTGAGACAGGGTCTTTCTGTTATGTAGTTTTGGCTGTTCTGGAACTCACTATGTAGACCAGGTTGGCCTCAAACCTGAGATCAAACTCACAGAGATCCACCTTTTAAGTATAATCATATCTTTAGATTAGTACTTTTGATTGTTTTAAATAGTATGTATGTTTAACTTTGTGCTACATAAATACAATTATTTAGTAATTCATTTAAAACTTAATTTGTGTGCTTATATTTTATACAACTCTATTACACTTAATTGAATATAGACTACTGCACTCAGTTATATTTCCTAAATTTCCAGTCATCTCATTTTATATTTCTTATCTTTGATATGGAAAGGAAGCAAAATTTGATTTTAAACAAATAGCTTTCTCTTTCTATGAAAAATGCAAATGTTGTTTTAATATATGAGATTTAATATGGTCCACTTAGTATTTATATGTCTTTAAAATATAATGTATTATAAAAGTATGAGTACTAAACATTTAAATTATTCATATACTCATAATACAAATACAGAAATATTTTAGCATCTTCCTGAGAAGAATAAACAAAATATTTTGTAGTATAAATTGATATGTTGAATACTGATACAAGTCAATAGGTTTTTCTAAGTAATATTTTCTTAGAATTTCAGATGTCCAACACAATTATCATTATACTTAAAATTTCATTTTTATCAAAAGGTTCTAATAAAGAATGACCAAAATCAAGGTATTAACCATGTTTAAAAACACAGAACAAGAAAAATTATGTTGTAATTGTTTAGTTTTAATTTCTCAGACCTATAACCAGAGCAAATATTTCTGGACAAAGAAGAGAGGAAAGACAATTTTATATACCATAATTATTTTAAAACTATATAACTGAAAGAAAAGAGATAAGCCTCATCAGCTGCCTAAGGTATATTATATAACCACCCAGCAATTTATCCATCATCCTTTGAGAACATATTCATGCCTATTGTAGTCAGAGCTCCTTCAAGAAACTGGCATTAAGATGCAGCTTTGAGAAATTATACCCTTAGAAAGTCCTATAGAACAGTACATGTGGAGTTGTTCAATCTTTAAAAAGCACACACTATAAGTATTGTTGTTAACTTTTTTATCTACAAGAATTTTCTTGGTAATCTCAAATGGAATAGATGAGTACTGCTCAAGAAAATATACTTTCTATGGAATGTTGTATAAAATAATAAAAATTTAATTTTTATATAAAGATACTTAAATATTTAGCAGTAGGTTTTTTTATGTAATAAAAATAATATGTGCACACATAACTCACTTTAAAATTTGAAGATACTAATATTTTATATTACATTCCTTTTATGCATTTAATGTCATTTGTTAATATATATGTGGAATTCAAGAAAATTTTCAGAAGTAAATGCTGTTACATTTTATAGCAAGGGCCAAACTTTGCATACTTGCTTGTGCAGGCATGCAAATAAGTAATGTTTATGCAAAATAAAGTATCTAATATCTGGAGGAAAGGGTGAAACCTTTACGTTGTTGCATTAAATTTTGGACTGATTTTTTATATGCAGTATTTCCTATCTCCAACATCAGCCAGGATGCTTCAGACAAGATTGGATGTTTTTAAATATGTAATCAGGATAGATAGACAGCTACTAGCAGGACAAATATACGACTGCTGGCTGGAGCATCCTAATGTGATGTTTTCTAAAGACTGGTAGCATCCTGTATATTTAACATCATATCAGCACTAAACTCATGGTTCAATTTTAAAATTTAGGTCAAGTTTTTCATATTTAATCTTTCAAAATTCAAAAGGAATAGCATTACTATGACTTATCACAGAATAAGTAACAATTTATTTAAAATAAGCCATATTTGATAAATGAACATAGCAACACAATGTTTAATAATGAAAGAATACAATAAAATATTAAAATTTTTATAATTCTTATGAACTGAAGATTAACAAGTAAAAACTTGACTATCTTAATAAATTGAAAATATCCTATATACTACAACTGTTACCCAAAACTTGAACTCGTTTATTTAAGTCTGGCTCATTTTATCATAAATTTACTTTATTTGATTCTCTGGTTTAAATTGAAATGAAAGATATGATGAGTTATTAAGAATTAATTAGAGTAATATTTTTGCCAAACAGTGTAGCATTTGAATTAATATAGTTTTCTTTTCCTTCTAACAGTTTGATGTCGGGATGTTTAAAGTTTCTATTTCCCATCCATTTGTTTCTTGACTCAGAAGACAGTAGGAAAGTGACCATAGAGGGCCAGTGCTTGATTCCATTACACTGCAGCTCTGAGTGGGAGGAATACAAAATACCTCAGACCCAAGCTTCGTTACTCTGCCAGAAAATGGCAAAAAGAAGTTTGTTTTTTTTTTTAAAAGAGCCAATTATACCCTTCATCATTTTTGTCTTATCTGAAAGTTTTATTACAGTAATTCAGAATGAAAGCAAAATAATTATATTACAAATACTTTAAAATTATATGAGGCCTTTGCATCATTTAACTTTCTAAATCATATGCTCAATATCTTATTAATACTATTTCCCCATGCATTTTTACATCTTCTAAATTATACTCTTTATTGTATTTGCCTAAAACTATCATGCCTATATATTTTGTCTATATCAGCTTTACAGATACTAAGTATTGCTTTGCAGGCAGAGCTCAAAATCATCTTTCCTCTACATCTGGGTCAGCATTTTATTTCTTCCCAAATCATCAGCCATCTACACACTTTTTAGTGCTTAGTACTCTGATGTGCCTGTTGAGCTCTAATTGTGTTGTTTGACCCCCAGGGTGACTCTGCCCCAGCCCCTGGCTGCTGTGAGAGCTTATTTAGAATTCGAGGCCTCCCTTGGCAGCCGCACTTGGAGCGTCTATAGCAATCTGAAGACTAAGAAAATGACATGCAAGAGAGCCGTGCTGCTGCCAGTGACCTACATTTGTGGCCAGCTTTTAAAGATGGCATGGGACTGGCTTTCCAGTAAGGAAGGGGAAGGGAAAGATGAGAGCAGAACTGTGAAGGAGAAGTAGTCTGCACTCCTGGCTCCTGACTCCTGGGAAACGCTGCTGCTGTGAGAGGAATGTGTGTCTGACACTGATGTTTTCACCTGGACACAGAACTTTGACAGCAGCAGGGTTAGTTGGCTGTGAGGTTTATCATCCAGAGGGTGAAATTTACTTAGAATATAGTAGATTTATTTCTTAGCCAGCTAGGAGATCTGCAAGTCATTTAGGCTTTTAAGACGGGGAGGTACCATATTCCAGAAATCTAAGTTGAACATGAACAATCTGCAGTATTGCTTTCTAAAACCTAAAGCACTCATTCCAGCCCTAAATTTACATTCAAATTTTTATTTTATTTTTGAGACAAGAACTCCTATATCTCAGGCTGCCCTCCATCTTGTTATGTCCCTGAGAAGGATTCTGCCTTTTATCTCCTGTTCCACCTCAAAGCACTGGGATTACAGGCATGTACCTCCACACCTACTCTTATTGTGGTACTGGAGAGAGAACCCAGCCAGGGCTTCATGCTTGTTCAGCAGGCACCCCGCCAACCGAGCTACATCCCAGACTGTTAATAATTTATTTTGAACCCATAAACCAGAATAGTTGTGACTCCTTAGATGTTATGCACACACAAAATATAAATCAGTTATTGGAATGGTTATATAGCAGTTTATCATTCTTGAAAAGAAGCCATGTGTTGTCTAAATTAGGAATATTTAATATAATTCTTTTTTTTTCCCAGAAAAAAATGGGTATTCAGTTTTCGTGGATATTGAGAACACTTAGTAACTTGGGTTCTGAAACTAGAGCCACTTAAAGTAAAATATAATACTCTTTGTCCCACTTATTTGAAACCATAAAATATGCCATGAAAGGAGAAAGTAGCACACCACCTATGGTCATAGATTGAATACAAGAGCTATGAAGA